ATTCCGAGCTAATTATAGACTTGAGTTTACCAAAAGCCGCGTCACACTCTTTAGTCCAGTTCCATGTACTATGCTTCTGCAGTAGACAATTCAATGGAGCGCGAATATCATGCATCGAGGGAACAAAAGCTGAATAATAACTGATCAACCCGAGAAAAGATCGTAATTCGGAAACATTAGTGGGAGTGGGCATCAGTTTGATAGCTCGGATGTTTTCAGGATCCGGTGTGCGACCGTCGGCATCAAAGATAAATCCCAAATACTTTACCGACTGCAATAGAAACTGGCATTTTTCTGGGCGTAACCGGAAACCATTGTCACTGATGCGTTGTAGTACCAATGTCGTGCGTTCCCGTAGCTGTTCTAACGTCTTCGCAACAATCAAGATATCATCGAGATAAGCTGCCACCCCTGGGATATCTGACAGGATTGTATCCATTAGTTGTTGGAAGATAGACGGCGCAGTCTTAACTCCAAAAGGTAGACGGTTATATTGAAACAAACCGCGATGAGTGTTGATAGTAAGCAGCTCTTTAGATGCTTCATCGACTTCCACTTGCAAATAAGCATCAGCTAGGTCAAGCTTTGCGAAGAACTTTCCTCCATTCAGCATAGTGAACAGATCTGCTGGAACTGGCAGAGGATAATGATGCTGTTCTAGAGCTGCGTTGAGACCTGTAGAGAAGTCAGCACATATACGTATCGTTCCGTTGGCCTTCTTGATAACGACTATAGGTGCTGCCCAACTGGAGTAAGAAACGGGAGTAATAACTCCTTGTCGTTGAAGGCGATCCAGCTCTTCATCTACTGTTGCTAATGTAGCATACGGTACAGGTCTCTTTTGACGAAAAGCAGGCTTAGCCCCATGTTTCAACCGAAGTGTTGCTTTCATAGCAGTGCACCGACCTAATCCAGGTTCAAAAATGGTTGAAAACTCTGTCATCAGCTTCTTCGTATACGCTTCTGGGTCATGTCGTTGTGATACCAGGTTGCATATGGTATTTAGCGGGACATCAGCCAATTTTAGCTGGTCGAACCAATCTAAACCAAGTAAATTTAGATCAGCTGGCGTTATATAGCATACCCCAGTAAACGACGAATCTCGGAAAGCAACTTTACATTCCAATTGTCCTAACAGACGAAGATAATTACCACATGCTGTACGAGGCTTTTGTGTTGTGTGCTGCAGGCTTGGGCTGCCCAACTTGGTCCAATTTTTGCGTGAGAGGATAGTGATATCAGATGCAGTATCTATTTGCATTCTACACAAATAACCGTTAATATTAAGAGTAATAAATTTCCTCTCACCTGGTGATGAACTTTGGCAGGAAGATATTAGGCTCAATGCATTGGTACTGGATCTAGGAACAGGCTTCTTAGCACTTCTGGATCGCTTTGGCTTTTTCTGTAGGCAAAAGTTATCTTTATGACCGATGACTTTACACTTCCTGCATCTATGCTGCCTAAATGGGCAGTTCCGTACATAGTGCCATGAACCGCAGTGCCAGCAAGCAGAAGGTGGATTCATTTTGGGTTTTTGGGCCGAATTGGAATTTTTCTTTTCACTAATGGAATGCACGTATGATGAGAGGCCCTTGTTTTCGACCATGGAGGTATCATGCTTCAAGTTTACTAATCTCTGGCACTCTGCAGTTATTTCTTGAAGCGAGATGTTTGGGCACTGTTCAATTTTACTTAGGATTCTGGTTCTTATATCAGCCTCGTCGGGAGATTGTAAGCTGCACACAAACACAAGGCACTTAAACTGATCTTCCGTCATTGATGATAATTTAAATCGTTCGCATTCACGATTTACTAAGCCAGCATGCTTTACCCAGTCATCTTCATTTGACTTGATTATTTTGAGGCATTGATAACGAATATTAAAGAGAGATGACTGTTCAGAGAAGATTTGCGACAGCGTATCAATTGTAGCATCAAAAGAGAAATCTCGTGGGTTCTTTGGGAGGATGAAATTACTATAACGTTCGTGTTCGATTGTGCCGAGCTTTCTCAAAAGGATTCTGACTTTGGTGGTGTCATCAAGATTGTTGAGGTCGACCTTGAACAAATCCTCATACTTCTTAAACCAAGACTCGAAAGTCACACCAGCAAGGCCATCAAAATGAAATTCATGAATGGAATTAACTATCGAGTCTGTATGCGGATTATATGAATCATCGGCAAAACCTCTGTGATTCAAATTCATTTGTTTCATTAACAGCTCCAACATACGTTCCTGGAACTGTTCATATCGTTTACCTTGACGTTCCAGTAAAGATTCTAACTGTTCAAGATTAATTGACATTGTGAATTGTGAGCCCCGTCGCCACTGATATGTTTTGTGGATATGGTTTTTACCCCGTCGCCACTGATAAGTTCGTCACTTAGGATGCTTGAGGCTATTACGAGTTTACCTTAGTCGATAAACGCGAACGAGACTTTTACCAGCTTCCAGGAAGGCTACCCTGAATCCCAGAATCGAAATAGAAGACTTTGTAGGCGTAGAAGTATATTCTACAAGCACCCAGCAATCCCAGTACAATCAAGCATACAACTCTCGTTTATTTATACAACATAACAACGTCCTTGAGACAGTTAAGAAAATAGCATACTAAAATACACAGCAGCCAATCACAGCCATTGATTTTGCTGGTGGTAATTGAAATCTCAAGGTCATTTGATCAGCCCCTGCTGGCGAACGTGAAAACCGAAATACGGCATTATCAAGCGAATTTTGGGGATCTAACATCCCCAACAAAAACATAGGCGGAATAGTAGCTTTTATGCGAATGATCAGCCATTATATGTCGGGTTATTCCTTGTGGTAGAAAGAAATTGCTCTTCACTTATTAGGAGGTACGGTAATCGACCCGCAGAGTTTACATCACTAACGAAGACTAGTTAGGGTTAAGCTTTTCATCACAAACTGACATCAGTTATGCTACAATGTTTTGTCATTCTACTGTTTACAAACTCAAGAGACTAATGGTTGGTATTCAGAATAAGAGTTAGAGGTGGAGGATATTAACTAATGTCACTCTTAATAACCTATGCAGATCATTACAAGTAATTTTATTCAGTCAGTCAATTGCAACGTAGAACTACGTATGTATGTACATAAGTTCATGTTGCCATACCACATTAGCACACAGACGCAAATGTCAAATCAAATCCCATAGTGATAAAGATAGTAGAGGTATTAATGATAATGAAGAAGACTAGGGTTTGAAGATATTATTCAAGAAGTATAATTCAGTGAGATAAAGTTAGAAGACAAAGGTAGAGGTTCTGACGAATGCAGAAGATTATGATTTTAGAGAGCTCAAAGAATGGATGCACTTGCGCCATTACAAACGATTTTGAGTCATGTCGTTCAAGGTCTCTAACCATTGGTGACTTCCGTCTCGCGGACCCTAACCAGGTAGACTACATCTACCAACATGACTCAGTTCACTAGTCAATGACTTCATGGATTTCTGTCATGTTTTGGTTTGGCCGCCCCTAGATTTCTTCCAACCTACTCCTACACCGCAAAACATAGCTCGTCGAGGCAGTCGGTGGTTAGGAGTACTTTTATTCAGTATCCACTACTCGTATTCACTAGTTTGTACTTCATTTATATTATTCTATATATATTACGTGATTTCTAATTTGTAGTTATATTATTATTTCTCTCAACCTATGGTAAACATATTTCATCTGACTATTCATCTCCTGAATCCGTTTTACACATAAACTTACTCAAGTCAACACTTCGTATTATTACAAGCAAATCTAAATTCATATGCTATAATTTAAGAACCACCGACTGCCTCGTCCAGCTTTGTTTTGTAGTGTAGGAATAGGTTGGAAGAAAGTTAGGGGCGGCCAAACCAAAACATGGCACAAATCCATGAAGTCATTGACAAGTGGACTGAGCCATGTCGGTAGTTGTCGACTACCTGGTTGGGGTCCGCGAGACGAAAGTCACCAATGGTTAGAGACCTTGAATGACATGGCTCAAAATCGTTTGCAATGGCGCCGGTGGATTTATTCTTTATGTTCTCTCAAATGCTAATCTTCTGAGTTCTTCAACACCTCTAGTTTTGACTCTCTGAACTTTTCTCACTGAATCATATTTCTTGAATAATATCTTCTAATCCTAACCTCTCCGATTACTTCTAATTCCCTTACTACCTCTACTACTATTGGATTTGAATTGAGAATTATATCTCTGTGCTGATGTGGTATGGCAACATGAACTGATGTACTTATGTACAAAGTTCTACGTTGCATCTGACTGATTGACTGACTGCTATAATTTAAGACGATATGTTATAACTTCAGCCTTTGGTTAGTTTAACGTTCAGCCACGAAGGAGGTACCTTGCGTGCTATGGGTATCTGTGAAGCAAGGTGTAAGGTTAGCTAGAAGAGGAAAGAACAAGAGAAAACGGTGGTCCCATGATTTCGTAAGCACATAGAATAATGCACTTACATTTAATAGACAGAAACCAGAGTAAAGTTTTCAATGCGTTACAATATTTTACCTTGAACGTGGTTACTTTTTTGAATTATCAATTTAAATATAATAGCTGATGAATCTGGAAAGGGAAACTTTTTAAAAAGAATATTCTTTTTGTTGATATTACCTATGTATTAATATAATGAAACTTATCAACTTACTTACACCTGTTACCACCCCCTCCCAATGGAGCATAGGCCGCCGACCAGTATTCTCCAACCTACTCTGTCCTGGGCTTCTCTTTTCTATTGGGTTCAATTTTTGTTCATTCTTCTCATGTTTTTCGCTTGTTTTCCTTGAACGTCCTATTTTCCTTTGACCTTAACCAGCTAGTTTTCTAAGGGATGTGGTCGCTAACCCCAAGCCTCCAACCCTGCTCCTTTATCCCGGCTTGAGACAGGCAGTAGTCCCTAGAGGAACTCTAGATGGAGTTGATCTGATGAGAATTTTTCACAAAACGATTTATCTTATATTATATATTTTCATTTTCTTAGGCAAATTAATCGATAAAGAAGATGGTCTTAAACAATTAATGAAAGCTGTCAAATCTGTATTTGTCGGATCAATCGATCGACCGAAACCTGGTCAATGGACAATAGAAGTAAGCACAGATGTAGAAGAAGAAGAAGGCATTATTGATTCTGAATCCTTGGATACAAAAACTAATACTGATGATGGTGACGGTGATGATATAGCACAACAACGTGAACGATGGATTTCTGTTCGCGTATCTGGTATAAGTGATGTTGATTTTTTGCAAGGTTTTTCAACAACACCACGATTATATAATTATGGAGCTTCGACACAACCGATTGCAGGTTGGTTTTTCGAAAAGTTCTTTTTTTTCCTTTTCTGTTACTTCTCAGGTTTTTCATTGATGTGAATCAATAAATAAATATTTTCGTCATTAAACTTTACAGTTATAAATCCGTGATCATTAATCTTACAATGAAATCATGAATCATTGATCGATGTTAGACCTACAACCAGCCACCATCTTCCATCTTTACTTTTGCTTACTTACTTACGCCTGTTACCCCTGATGGAGCATAAGCCGCCAACCATTGTTCTCCAACTTCCTCTGTCCTGGGCTTCCCTTTCCAGTTCTGTCGATTTTTTGTTCATTCTTGTTACGTTCGTCACTAGGCACTCTTGAAGCTTTTACGAGTTTACCTTAGTCGATAAACGCGAACGAAACAATGAACCAGCGTCCAGATAGGCTACATTGAATCCCCAGGCTGAAGTAAAAAGGGCTTTGTAAGCGTAGAAAGTATATTCTACAAACACCCAGCAATCACACAGTACAATCAAGCATACAACTCTCGTTTTATTTATACATCATAGAAACGTCCTTGGGACAGTTTTGAAAATAGCACACTAAAATACACAGCAGCCAATCACATCCATGGATTTTCCAGGTGGGAAATGAAATCTCAAGGTCAACTGAATCAGCCCATGCTCGCAAAAGTGAAATTCAAAATAAGGCATTTATCAAGCGAGTTTTGGGGATCTAACATCCCCAATAATTCTTCTCATGTCTGTCTACATTTCTCGGCGTAATGTGCTCCTTGGCCTTACACTTAGTAAGTGTAAGGCCAAGGAGCACATTACGCCGAGAAATGTAGACAGACATGAGAAGAATTATTGGGGATGTTAGATCCCCAAAACTCGCTTGATAAATGCCTTATTTTGAATTTCACTTTTGCGAGCATGGGCTGATTCAGTTGACCTTGAGATTTCATTTCCCACCTGGAAAATCCATGGATGTGATTGGCTGCTGTGTAT